CAGGTGAGTTGGCCACACTGCAGTCCCTTCCCCTCCATTCTCCTCTCTCCTCTCAGGATCTTGGGCATGCACGCACACGCGCCAGGCATGAGTTTAAGCCGCTGGGTCCGGGACTTGAACTGAGGTAGACTACATGGGAGTCCAGCAACATAGCCATTACGCTAACTGCTGGTCCCAACCTACACCTTCTTTCAGACCTTTCTGGTGCTGCCTTTTTACCTGCTGTGATACTCTGCTAAGGGATCTTCTTCTTCCAGGATCTTCCTGCCTGCAAAATCAATGGTGATCTTCTTAGTGAGTCGGGAGGCATGTCGAAGTTCTCTCAGCTCCTCCTCTCGCTTCTGCAGGGTTTCCCGCTCAATTTTGGACAACCATTGGTTAGAATCACTGGCAAAGTAATCTGATTCATCATCAATGACTTGGGTCCTTCGAATGCTAAGGAAAAAAAGAACATAAGGTAATGAGGTCAGTTGTTGACAAGTAAGGATCAGTAACTAATAAGTGATCACTAGGACCTGGTCACTGGGAAACTGCTCTGAGGTAGCTAACTTTTTGCTGTCCTAGAAGTTACTGTCTCAAATATAGATACTCAGGAAGGCTCCAAAACCAAGTCAGGCTCTGCCCAGTTCCCAGGTTCCATGTATTTATCTTCACTGCAGGTTCAGATCAGCTCCCAGATCAATTTTTTTTTCTAGTTTTTTTTTTGCTATAGGGTGTTAGGGTGTGTGTGCTCTCCAGAGAGCCAGAAAGGGAGAAGCCACCTCCTGGTGGGGATGGTCACACCTCAATCCCTTTACCCCTTTTCCTCTCAGGATTTTGGGCACACACAGATGCGCCAAACGTGAGTTTTAAACTGCTGGGTCTAGGACTCGAACCATGGTAGACTACATGGGAGTCCAGCGACATAACCATTACTCCATCTGCTGGTCCCAGTGGTCCCAATCTGTCTCTTTTTAATGCCAGAAGGCACATGTGCACCACGAGAAAGATTGGGCAGGAGTGCACATGAGCAAGCACTCCCCCACCCCCAACACACACAAAAAGTGGGGCTTGATCACGTGACCAGACATGCCAGGACTGGAACCTGAGTCCTGGTCAGCCACGTGGGAATCAGCTCCCTTTGCACAGAGTGCTTAAGCTCTGTTACCATGCTGGCCTGGCTCCTAGAATTAATCTCAACATCAGGCAGGAAAAGATGGAACCAAAACTCACTGTCCTCCTGTCTTTACTAGTCCAGCCTTCACCTTCTGGTAAGTGGGCTTTAGCTGGTATTGCTGCATCTGAGTTTATGTTTTGGCAGTTTATTCAGTATCCTAGTCCCTCTGCAACTAGGATCCAGTCTATTTTTGCTAAGCCCATTTGCTTACTGGAGTTCTATTATGAAATGTCAGGTCTGTGGCTCAAATATTTACTCTTGAGACATTCTATTACTCCACTACTCTCTGTCTGCATTACTCTAGTTTTTATCATCCACCTCACAACAATCTTTCAGTCCCTCACTAATGCACTAGAGCTAAGATAAGACAATCCGTTTCTCTTTTAAAAAATTTTTATAAACAATTTACTAGAAGACATGAACTTGCGTGCATGAGACAGATAGGGAGAAAAAGAGGGAAAGTAAGAAAGCACCCCCTGGGGGGAGACAGCCACACTGCAATCCTTCTTCATTTCTCCCCTTGGGATTTTGGGCACATAAGCACATGTACCCCAGCATGGTTTTATAAGCACCTGGGTCTGGGACTCCAAAGGCAGCTGGCCATTGGGATCTGCCATCTTAAGTTAAGGTTTTCCTTTTTTATGAGTGGAGAGGAGGGAAGAGTAGAAAGGGATGGAGAGGAAGAGATGAGGTGGAGAGACGTGTTTTCAACAGGAATGCATCACAGTCCTCTGCTCTAGCCTCCCGGTTACCTAGGATTACAGGCATATGCTACTGCACTTGGCCAGGTAGTACTGTTTGTGCCACCAGGGCTGGGGCAAAGAAATTGGTCTTTTATACAAACTTAGATAAAGAAACTGGCACCCTTGAACATAATAGCAAAGCTACAATATCAATAAGGACATATTCTTTCCAGATTTTATTTATCAATAAATATATTCATTTCAATTTGTTTTTTAAATTTTGCCAGATGGCATGTGTGCTCACAAGAAGAGCCAGAAAGGGACAGAGAGAGAGAGAAATCAGAAAGCACCCCTTAGGAGGATGGCCACACTACAGTCCCTTCTCCTCTATTTCCTTCCCCTGAATTTCTCCTTTTGAAATTCTGGTCATGCACACACACAGGTCTGGTGTGTTTCTCAAGCCACTGGGTCCGGAACTTGAACCATTCAGTTGGCCATGTGGGATCCAGCCACTTTAATCACTATGCCATGGGCTGGTCTCTGATTTCTATTTTTTTAAAAAATTATTAATTTAATTATTATTATTAATTAATTTTTTGAGAGGTTTTTGCTATAGAGCACATGCACTCGCCAGAAAGACAGAGAGAGACAGAAAGCGAGAAATCACCCCCCAGGGGGGATGGCCACGCCGCAATCCCTTCTCCTCCAATCTCCTCTTGGGATCTTGGGCATGCATGCACAGGTGCCTGGCAGTTTAAGCCACCAGGTCCGGGACTTGAACCATGGGAGTCCAGCGACATTACGCTAACTGCTGGTCCCTAATTATTACTATTTAAATTGCTCTAGGGCACATGCACTCACCAGAGAGAGAGATGGAAAGTGAGAAAGCTGCCAGGTCCAGGACTCGAACCACAGCCAGCCACGTGGGAGTACAGCGCCTTAACCCCAGTGCTACCTTCCAGCTTCTCCTATTTCTATTTCATTTTTTTTGGAGAGGTTTTTGCTATAGGGCGCGTGCGCTTGCCAGACAGACAGAGAGATAGAAAGCGAGAAATCACCCCCCAGGGGGGATGGCCACGCCGCAATCCCTTCTCCTCCATTCTCCTCTCAGGATCTTGGGCATGCATGCACTCGTGCCCGGCGGGACCGGGACTCGAACCCCAGTCGACTACGTAGGAGTCCAGCGACATAGCCATTACGCTAACTGCTGGTCCCTCCTATTTCTATTTCTAATGATCAGGGTTTTACAGAAATAATTAATTTGATAAGAGAAGGAGAGAGAGAAAGAGAAAGTGAGAGAGCAAGCTGCCAGGTCCAAGACTTGAACCATGGTTGGCCACATGGATGTCCAGCACCTCAACCACTATGCCACCTGCTGGCCCTTCTAATGATCCATTTTAATGAGTAGGGTAAAATATGATACCTTTGATCCTTAAATGACTGAAAGTGAATATGAATTACATACCTTATAATGAAATAGCTTTGTAAATTATATCTCATGTATTCATAGCCGACAGTTTGGAAGTATCAAGTATATCTCACTAAAGGGTTATAATTCAGAAAGAGACTCCCAGACTGGTTACAGTAATAGATTCAGGGTCTAAGTATGTCATATGGTCTGGGAATGGGGCAAGTAAGTTCTACCTCAACATTCTTTACTACTATTTAGTTTACTATACATATATTTTGTCCAAAATAAGAAAAAAATTGGTGCCAGCAAGTGGTGTGGTGGTTAAGACACTGAATTCCATATGGCTGACTCTGTGGTTTGAGAATCAGACTCAGCTGAGTGGAAAATGTACCAGGCATGAGTGCCCTAAGTCCTAAGACAAGAATCGACAAGAAGGGATTGTGTGACGATCCCCCCAGAGGGTCATTTCTCACTTTTCCTCTCTTCTGTCTCTCTCCAGTGTCTCCAGTGAATGTACTCGCCCTATAACAAAAATCTAAAATAAATAAATAAATAAATAAAATTTAAAAATAAAAAAAATTAAAGAGAAGGAAATCAAAACTGGAACTAACAAACCATAAATCTCTCCTAAAGAGAAATCTGTGGACTAAACAATGATAGTGTAGGAGTATAAAGCCAATTTAGGGACTTTTAAATGTACCAATTTTTGAAGCAGAAAACAAATTCAGTGTCAAAGGGAAGCAGCGAGTAAATCATACTTTTCTATGATTAGGCATTCCTATGCTCTCTGAGAGGAAATTTCTTTTTTTTTAATATTTTTAAAAAAATTATTTAGTTTTGGGACCAGCAGTTAGTGTAATGGCTATGTCGCTGGACTCCCATGTAGTCAACCGCGATTCGACATGCTGGGCGCGTGT